AGAAAGTTTAAAGACGAATATTTCCTTCCTAATAAATATAAAATAAAAACAATGCAAACATTTAATAATCCTCTAATGATTTTGATCGAGTTGAATAAGAGAAAAGAAATCGTTCATCTTGTTAAACGTCTCCTTGAGATATGTTGTGATGCAATTGAAATTGGACATGATGAATTACTTGAACATACATTGGAAAGACCATCAAATGATACTTTAATATATTTTATATTATTCGAAGATTGTTTTATTAAAATATCTCTCCGTCAAAATATTTTGAATCAACTTACAAACTTTTGGAATGTATGGGAAGAAAAAGGATTACGGACTCGTCAAATAAGATGTTGGCAAAATTTTACTTCCAATCAACGATACTATTTCAATGAAATATGGAATCTTGTTAGAATCTTTGCAAAAAAAAACTACGAAGTCAAGAGATTATTTGATAAACAGTACCAAGAAATTCTCCGAATGATTAAATTAAAAGAAAATATTGTTAATTGTCTAAATGCATATTGTTCAGAAAGTAGTGATAAGGAAAAATATTTAGTTCTTCTTCAATCTCTGCAACAAAAAATTGATGAAGGTGGAGTACAATAAATTATTGTTGAGCCAGAACTTAAAAGACTTGAACTACTAGCTACTCGTCTTAGTCATGTATCAAAATCAAATGCTTGGATACATTATTATACCAAACAAATCGAAAGCATATCGAGTTTGCTAATTTTTAATCTTGCCTTTCCATCGAATGGTGTTTCATTTCTTTCATAGAGCAACAAATGTCAACAAGTGCAAGAAGCAATAATTATATCGAGGATGATGAAACTTTCAATATTGATTCGCTATTCAATAATGCAGACGGTAAACCAAATATCAGTTCAGCATCTATATATATAATTTTCAGTGTCTGTCTGTCTGTTTCTCTGTGCCCGGTCAAAGGTCATATAAGGTTATAAGGGGAAGGCGTCAAGGACTATTACATAGAGGTACTTATAGTTCCTCAAAGACTATCCTATGAAAGATACCCATAGGCCCTTAAGGACTATTATATGGAAGTATCCACAGATTCTCAAGGGCTATTATATGAAGACACCCATGGATCCTCAAGAGTTGTTCTATAGGGTACTCATGGGTCATGGAAGGTGTAAGAGAATAAATTGATAAGGCTACAAGGACATACGACTACATGGACTATAAAAGTATGTGCGATATAAGATTATGAGGTCGTAATGCTTTGCTTTATACACATAATATCGCGTATCTGATTGTCTTTTATCGGATGAAAAATTAAACGTCTGAAGTCATACGTAGAAGGAGAAACCCGTCGTGCAGTATGTACAGGTTGTTGTAAGTGTATTAATATTGCTTGAGAAGAAAAACA